TAACCAGACCGGACCAAGACCGCAAAAGACCGGACCTGCGGTTACGGTCTTTTATTTTTGAAATGTAAAGACCGCAAAAAAACCGGTTAACGTGAACCGGTCTTGACCGGTTTGGACCGGTCTTTTATAGCCCCTTAAATACCCTTTAAAACGCACCCAAGAACGTACGATTTGGTAAAAAAACGAGAGAGATATGAATTAAAATGTAAATTACTTTTGGGAATAATAGATGTACCAGACTTATTTTATAGAAGCACCAATTCCTAACGGAATTTAACGTTCTTGGGCTCGTTTTGAAGCTATTAGAGATGTTAATAAATTTACCGATTCATAATTTTAAAATATTGGCCTAAAGACCGGTCATAAACCGGTTAAAACTGATGCAGACCGAAACCGGTCTATAGACCGCAAAAAACCGCGGTCTGCGGTCTTTTTGCGGTCCGGTCTGGTCTTTTGACTTCTGGGGAAAAGGCAGACTGGTTACGGTTACGGTTAACGCCCCTGGGCATCAAAAAACCGGACCGAACCGGACTTTCAAACACTATATGCAACCGCGTGGACTGCATTGACGACAGGCTGACTGGTGCCTGGTAGGGCTGCTATCTGAAAGAGGGACATGGCGAGCCTGTACAGCGTGAGGGGGTCCCCAGCTGAGACAAACAGCAGCTTTGCTTCAAGGTATTCCCTCCCTTTCTCCGCATCACCGACCTCTTGATCTTCTTCGTCTATGTCCACCGTCCCTGCAGCTCTCATTTTGCCTTTCTCCTGCGCCTCTGCTTTGGTTGTTTGACTTTGCCAGGTGATTGTTGTTTTGACTTTTTGTGAAGAGCCCGTCTGGTTCTTGGACTTTCCTCCAGCCCCAGACATGATCTAGGATAGTTTTTAGTTGATATTGTAGACAATATATGATTCTTATAGGTTGTTTTTAGACCAGGCGTTGGCTTTGAGGCCGTTTCTCAACGAGTATCCGAAAAAAATTTGGGGTCCTAGTCAGGGTGCCACATGGTTCTGGTCCAAGGAGTTTTGAGATTGAAGCATACAGGCAGTCTGTCATTGCCAGGATGATGGAATGTCCCAACATCGTGCATTCAGACTCAATGTAATATTTGTGCAGGACCACATGAAAGATATATTTGGTACCGTCAAGCGATCGAAGCCAAACACGTTACCATTGCGCTAGGTAGCCGTTGTTGGATTTATCAACCGTACGCACAGATTGAGGTTGTCTTTTTCTTTTAGACAATAAGAGACGATTCCAAACCGAAGAGGGCTTTGTCCAAAAGATTGTAAATACTAAACATTGCCCAACTCTTGTGACGGCATTCCCACAAAATTTCGGGTGCTTTAAAAGTCACTGAAAGCAGATGAACCACGTGTGGTTTGGCGACGAGGTCGATGACTGGAAAATGTCTATCCATCTTATAGCTTGGTTGTTGGCTCATTGAGTCGGGAACCAGGCTTGCGCCGCTACTGGATTTTAACCAGATTCATAAGCTCCGTGAGTAAGTGATGAACCACCTGCCGACTAAAAGCACTTCAGGTCATTATCAGAAATTTGGAAGAAGTGGGCCTCGTGTAGGAGATCGCGGTTTCTATGTGTGCGAGTTTGATCACGTGGCCGGCGATGGCACGCTGTCAGTGTCAAGTTATTTTTTGTCGATATTTGTCTGACGACTATGACGGTCTTACGCGCCGTCTCTGTGCTCAGGACCTCCTTAACTCGCCATAACGTACCCAGATGCCTTGCTCGTAAGTTCTCAACACCTTCAGAAGGGGTAGGTACTTCAAAACCTTCCTGTTAAACATACGAAACTGATGAAATCATCGTTGAACAGCTGAGGAAAACTGGGCTCTACGACTTTCATATCGAGAATGGGGCCAAAATGGTTCCGTTTGCTGGGTACTCTATGCCGTTAGCGTATGGGAATGTCGGCCAAGGTAAGATTGGAGACGGGCTCTATCCTTTTCCAAACTCAACGTTCTTTCAGTTGCCAGTCATAACCACGTCCGGAGCAGTGCGGGACTCTTTGATGTTGGGCATATGGTCCAATCCAAGTGTGTATACCTTCGTTATATCATATTTCTATGCGTACTGACTCCCGAAAGTTTCCGGGGACAAACGGCAACTGAATTCCTGGAATGGCTAACCCCGTCCTCGCTCACCGCCTTAAGCCCCTACACCTCAACCCTCTCCGTGCTGCTGAACGAAAATGGCGGGATCATAGACGACACTATCATCACAAAACATGCTCCAGACGCTTTTTACGTCGTGACGAATGCTGGGAGGCGGGACGTGGATCTCCCTTGGTTTACGAAGAAGCTGGAGGAGTGGAACGCGAGTGAGAAAGCGAAAGAGGGGAAGGTGGAGATGGAGGTACTGGAGGACTGGGGTTTATTGGCCTTGCAAGGTGGGGTTGTGTCCCGAGCTTTATGAGCTGTGGTTGACAGGGGTGATTCTAGGTCCAGCAGCTGCTACGTACCTGCAAGCGTTGACGTCCTTCGATCTCCGACTGCTCACTTTCGGAAAGTCGGCGTTCGTCCCCATTGAGGGCTTTAACCTCCACGTCGCTCGTGGTGGGTACACAGGAGAGGATGGATTTGAAGTATGTTTCCCCCATCCTTCCCCCGCTCCTGGTACTGACCTCGACCCAGATCTCCATCCCGCCATCCCAAACGGTTGAAGTCGCAAAACTTCTCTCAAAAACTCCGGTACAGCTGACCGGACTTGGAGCGCGCGATAGTCTTCGTCTTGAGGCTGGGATGTGTCTTTATGGCCACGACCTCGACGAGACTACCTCCCCCATCGAAGCTGGATTAAGCTGGGTCATTGGTAAGCCTACATGCAAGACCATTCACCCTCCGATGAACCTCCTCTTCAACAGGCAAGGACAGAAAAGAGGCAGGTGACTTCATCGGCGCAGAAGGTGTAAGGCAACACCTCAAAGATGGGCCCCCACGAAGACGTGTCGGCTTGGTTGTAGAGGGTGCTCCCGCTCGAGGTAATATTCTTCGTTCATGGTTACTCTTTCGCTTTTGACAATCATACATATCAGAGGGCGCCAAGATCTTCACTCCTTCCGGCGAGGAACTCGGCATCGTCACTTCCGGTATACCGTCCCCCTCGCTGCAGAAGAACATCGCCATGGGATACGTCAAGTCCGGCTCTCACAAGAAGGGCACGGAAGTCGAGGTTGAAGTTCGGAATAAGAGAAGAAAGGCTGTCGTCACCCCAATGCCGTTTATCAAGCCCAATTATTGGAGGGGTTGATCTACGTACAAACACACTAATTGATTTTTATGAACTCGCAATGCCCGGTTGAAGGACTGGTGTATATAATAGGATTGATACCCAATGCAAAATAACTATCCGCAAGACTGGACACTTATACAACACTTATGTGACTGGCTGCGTCCTGTTCAATCTTCAATATTCAATCTCTGTCCTCGTCCTCGACCGATGGATGTGCAATTGATTCAGTCACGATATGAATCGACATGGGACGTCAACCAAAGTAGGTGGACCTCTCTGCTTCTACACGTGACAAGCTCTGGCCTAGTCGCTGGCGCCCATCGTCCTGCAGCAGCTGCCCACTGATGATGCCTCCCCCGCTCTTCCTCCTGCGTCATGCACTCCACCCTGCCGGGCCGTTGATCTAACTCGCCCCGGAGGTCACAAGTGGGCGCAGCTCCTCTCTTTGTAATATTTTACGGCTATCAGGAGGGGCAGCTTACAACGCTGCCCGCTATCTTTAATTTTTTCTCGCCCACCCATCCCTTCCTTAACGGGCCGGTTGGCTCCATACACATTCAAGATGTATAGACACGGCGGAGAGAGTGAGCGTTAAGTTCTTACCCGTATCAAATTCCCTGTCCGACTTTCGATGAACTTTTTAACAGAAACGATATCAAGTCACTTGAGCACAATATGGATTTTCATATAACTTGTACAAGTCCTTCGCCTATTTGACACGACTCCCAGTACGCGAGACACTTTCAGAACAACAAGAAAAACTCCTCGATAAAGCGATTACTTTCCAGGCTTGCAGCATTGCTCGCAGCCGCAGCTGGCGCAGGAACAACTACACGTAGAATCAACGTGTCAGAACCAGTCAATGCAGAAAATTCACGGTTCTGAACTTACGTGTCGGTGCAATTGCACTTGGTGTGATCACAAGCATCGTTGGCGAGAGCGAAGGTGTTCTACAGGACCTCGTTAGAAGATAATGAGCCAGCGAGCGAGAAGACGTACGGAGATCATGATGATAGGTGGGTTGAGTTCAGTTGGGAAGTGATGAAGAGCCTGAGGTTAACCAAGAGTTTGCAGGTCCTTTATACCCTCCAGCTTTTGTTTACCTGTGTTATTACTAGGTCGATTCAAGAATGCGTATCTGCTTTAGACTTTGATCATCAGTACCTGCGTCGATCACACAAAGCATGAGTCTGTGTGACTTGCGGGGCTCAGCCCTCGAGGGGGGAGAGCAGTTGGCCAGAGGCAAATCGGCGATTCTCTTACCACGAATGGATCAGTGCGGTGATAATTTATCGGAACTTGATTTTGAAGACAGTGCTCCAACCTTCAAATTCGGCCTGATGACGTGGAGAGAAGCTCTGAGAAGCTCAAAAAAAACTGTGTGCGTATCACGAGCGGCCATTTCCAGTTATTTCTTTTATCGAATTTTAGATAATTGTATGCTGATTCGGACGCGCTCAGAACTCCTCCTCACTATGGTGGGGATGTGCCTCATCTAGACGACACAACAATGCGACGATTTGATCCAGCGAATCCCAGATTTGGGGCCTATGAGGGTAATGGCAGGCAGCGTGACCAACACTTGACGAGTGTGGTGCAAGCCTAATCCCCTTTGTTTGTGGGCTTGGAGCTACTTGGAGTTGACTTGGAGTCAAAGCAACAAGTTACAGAGATATCCGATCCGGATCTATTTCTATCTAATTTTTCCGGCATTGGCGGGGTACCAGACATTGGTTAAGATCAGAAACTGCGAATCGTTTCTCGTCGGACACCTCGGATTCCAGTAAGTTTGCCTTGTTACTTTCTACTAATTCCAGTACTGTGTTAGAAAATTAGCGGGGGGTATCACAATATTCACAGACTGTTATTCACGCACGCTCCAACTCTCCATTTGCATAGGGCACGCGTTATTAATATTGCCACGGTCCTCCACCAACCTTGTGTACTTGCACCCCAGAAATCAAGGACATCAATCGCTGTGCTTCTCTGCGGGTCTCGTTGACCAAGAGAGGCGAGGCATTTTTTCCTGGGGTCAGCCGACCGGGCCCCACGCATGGCGTTGGCTCTGCACCAACTCCATTCCCCCACTAGCACGGCGCCCATGATGGAACACGGATTAAGATCGATATTCAACGCATCGCACCGCATTCCCATTCACATAATGGTGCTGTGGCAGATGGTACGGACACTCGCGTGTGCCATGATAATCGCACAAAATCTCCCTTTTTTATCTGCGGAAATATTCTGTTCTACATGTGGCTTATTGCCATAGAAATCGAGCATGCACATAGACTAGGATCCAGAAAAATGGAACATCACGAAGGAAACACTCACGGCGTAGCACCTAAATTCAAGCAAAGCGAGTGAGAGCTTTCTGTGGCCAACCAGACAATACACGACTTTTGTTGGGCATGCCATCAGGAAAATCGCAAATGTGTGGCAGGTCGTGATCGCGTGGCGGAGTGTGGCCGGCGTGATGGAGCTGGCGCCACACCGCCATAATTTTGATCTCCGGATAAATTGTGCCATGTGTGTCACAATAATCCTTCACGCCACGGAGCTGTTGTCGCATGTATGTGTATCGATCATGTGACATGTTGAACGTCGGAAAATTTTGGACTTCTGAACTTTTTCTCGGGCTTCATGCTGCTTCATGCTCAGTTCACGCTCCTTCCTCCAGTAGTCTCCCTCCACTGCGGCAATGCGTCACCACCACCATCTCGAGTAACCATCGCTCAACCGCACCCAACCATTATTGCACCTCAGGCCTCAACGTCACGAACAACGACCTACCTCAACGACAACGATAACCACCTGGGACGTGCAGACGGTGACGATGCATGTCGTCATCACTGCACATGTTACTCAAGGTGGGCCATCTGAACTCCCTTCGCTTATCGTCTTTTACCACAACGCACAGGGGGGCCACGTCGCTGTCGGTGACGTGGCAAACAACAACAGATGGAGAATGACAAACGATAGACAGCAAGGTGAGCCATCTGACTAGTCTCCTCTTTACTTTTTTAACAAGAGACGCAGGGGCCACGTCGCCAATGGCGACGTGACAAACAACAACCATCCTTCGACCGCCCCCAATTGCAATGACGATGTGGCAATTCCACATCACACTGCCCACAAGCACGAACAACAGCCAACGACAACGCCAACCAAAACCGACCACGATCATTTATGCAAACGACAATGGAAACAAATCACAACGAGCTGAGGTGAGGCCCCACCACCCATCTTTCTAACATGGAATCTAGGTGCTACGTCTCCGTCCGCGATCTGGCAACGGCCAACGCCAATGCCAACCAAAACCGACCACAACCATTAATGCAAATGACAACGGAAACAGATCACAACGAGCCGAGGTGAGGCAAGCTCACCTCCCCACCACTTATCTTTCTAACATGGAATCTAGGTGCTACATCTCCGTCGGCGATCTGGCAATTCCACATCACACCGCCCACAAGCACGAACAACAGCCAATGACAACGCCAACCAAAACTGACCACGATCATTTATGCAAACGACAACGGAAACAAATCACAACGAGCTGAGGTGAGGCCCCACCACCTATCTTTCTAACACAGAATCTAGGTGTTACATCTCCGTCGGCGATCTGGCAGCCAAACGACGAGCTCATTTGTTGCCGTCATGTATTGTAGGACGCGAACGATGAGTACCCACCATCCCATGTTCGTCCTTTGGTGGTGCGCTTTCCCCATCTCACCATTACCTTATTCCTGACCTCTGTCACAAACAGGACCTCATTGATCTCACGGAGGAGGGCTGCATCAAGGATGATTGGGTGAGTTCCCCAAATCATTCTCATTCACTCTTTTGTTACAATATAGTATTTATGTGTTGTTTTGTACATAGTATAATACCAATAAATGTTTTTATTTTTCGCATTTGGGCAGTGTGGTGTAATTTAAAAGCTGGATTTGTGGCCCCATAATGAAAATTATGATGAGTTTGTGGTGCCATGAATGATTGTGGTGGGTGTGTCGCCACCCTTCGCCACCACAAGTATAATGTCCCCATCATGGTTTGTGGGAGTGTGGCTGACCGTGGTTTGGATGAGAAGTGTGGTGCCACACATGCCACATGTGATGTGATTTTCCTGATCAGTGGCTGGCACATCAACTTTGCATCAACTTGAACTTCAAGCAAACTTCAAGAAATTCCTTCCAAGTGAGTCCTGGGGATGCAACATAAGGTTGTGCACTCACGAGAATCCATGGATACTCATTCTTCCATTTTCTGCAAAATGCAACCATCGGGGTAGGATTGTCAGTACAAACGGCAATAATGGACTTGGGCTCAACGCTTTTCTTTGCCAGGGCCTTGGTCGCAACGTCGCAAAGGTTATCTGCAGTCGCTCTGATCCTGGTCAGTTCCTCCACTCCCAACACCACAGGAAACTCCCCAACTTCGGCAACCATGCACCCATAGACGCTGCGTCTTTGGCTGTCATCCCACCCATCCATGAGGTATGTGAGATTGTTCCTCCCCTCCAACCTTTTTACGTCCGCAGCGAATGCCTTTGCTTCCTCACCAGGAAGGAGTCGCTCCATCAACGTATAACGAGATGCAGGGCCGTAAGACAGACGTAACGTCTGAACCCATTTCCGAAAGAATGGGTTGTCAGCAGCAGAGAACAGAATGTTTCCATGAATGAAGAATCTGTAAGTCTTAATTATTCAATAGCGTTCCATGTATTTCCTTTTCACAAACCTCAACTGTTAAAGGAGATGTCTCGTGACCACGTTGTTTACGTGTACGCTTTATTTGTTCACTTTCTCCATTTTACTCTCTCGTTTTACTTCCGTTATTTACCAGTCTTTATGCTTACTTTGCCAGTCTTTGGTTCCCCATTCCTTTATATATGAAAACTTTATTTCCTCTCACCTCAGTCGTCATTACACTTTGTGTCTGACTCTGAGGTGAGCTTACTTTACATTTTCTTACTCTACCTTTACTGACTACTACCTATACTTAGTTCCGTGCGTTCACAGGTAGTTAAGCAATAACAGTCGTCATTACACTTTGTGTCTGACTCTGAGTTCCGTGCATTCACAGGTTATGGGCCCCGCTGCGCTCTAATAAATTTACGGAACTACAGACACCACTCGCTTTACTACATTCACTTGCAACTCGTAAAGCCCACTTTACATTTCACATTACCCCCACAAAAATGGCATTGTCCAATGCGAACCCACCTATTTTTGCCGACACAGAAAAATTTGATGGAGCGAATTTCGCCACCTGGGAACCACTAATAATTATTGCGGCAACTAGTCGTGGTGTTTTAGGATACCTAAAAGGATTGATTCCCAACCCTGCGCCGCCTACGTCCCAGACCGCCGCGCTAACATACACGCCTGGTCCACTCGAGTTACCCCTTCCTGATGACCCTACACAGTGGTACTCCACCAATCCCTCTGTTGCCGAGTGGGCTATGCGCGACACCTGGGTGCGCGCACTGCTACTCTATAACACCAAAAATCCTATCGGGCTAGGTCTTAAGCTTGATGGGACTGCCGCTGAAGCTTGGAACTCACTTACCTCGCAATACAAAATTACATCTGACCTTGCCGCCGTCACCACTCAACGCGACCTTTGTACTACCATCTTCGCCGATGGAAACGACTTCCCTACCCATGTCTCCAACCTTCGTACAAAATGGGCGGTCGCGAATAGCGCTGGCGCAAATATTGGGGACGCTGACTTCCGTATGATCATCCTATCTTCCCTCCCGGCCTCTTGGGATAGTGTTGTTGGTACCCTATACGACGCCAAGTCGTCAGCGGAGGTGATCAGTCGGCTCATGATCCATTGGAACCGGATTGACAGATCAAAGTCGGTCACAAATCCCAGCAGCGTCGTTACAGCACTGCAAACCAATACAAGGCAGGGACGCAGTCAGCTCCAATGTGCAAATCAAAACTGTGGACGCCGTGGACACACCATTGCAAATTGCTATTGGAAGGGGGGAGGAAAGGAAGGCCAATTCCCTCCTGATTTTGGACGATGTGGGGGGGCGCGGGGATCAGCACCACACGCTACAACCCCTACAGTAATGGCCGCACTCACAGACACGTCGTCCACGTCAGAAATAACCCTTGCCCTCATTGCAGACATCCACGGAGACAAGTGTCTATTGACCAAGGACACACCTCTCCATTCAGCGGAAGATGACAACGTCTTGGAAATCCACTCACCCAGTGAAATATTACTTGCGTCAAAGGATTGTGTCATCGAGTCCTATCCTGAAGGTGCCTGGGACCACACCACTCACACGCTGACAGCAACAACAAAATCAGGACCTCACAATGTTCTTACCTTTGCTGATTCCGCCGCCAATAAACATTGTTTCGTCGAGCGCTCCGATTTCACCACATATTTCCCTCTTACAAAGCCAGACGAGGGTCAACCTGCAAATAAAGGAGGTCAGTTTTGCATTATTGGACACAGCGCCGTAATGAAGACAATTGTCTCGGGGGGATTGAGGACGACTATCACCTTCAAGGACGCCGTCCACACGCCTGACCTCATAGTGGTGTTGCACAATCCTCGGTAAGTGTGATGACCAGTGACATGCCGTGACATGGTGTCACAGGCCCAATATCTTGAGACATTGAGTTTGTACTTTCCACAGCACCTATTCAATATATTTTTTGCAATGGGTTTGATTGAATTAAGTGAATGAATCCACTGGGAGAGTTTTCCCTGGAGAAATTGCATTTATTGCTCCAAAAATGCGAAATCAGTCTGTTTTCCCTGCCAAATGAGGCAGTCCGAAGAGATTGGACTATAACGTTTCAACAACAGCACGTATGAACATGATTTGCAGACGGATTTTACTTAGAATTCAAATTCCAATCGATCTACGGATCCAGAATTTTTATTTGTGGCACCTGTGCCGAGATACCCTTGAAAATCAGCACTTTTACATGGTTAAAGGCTAGTAATTAAAAATATGGACCCGTAGGATTGTAGCCACATAGTAATCGATGATTTCGTCTCTGCAAACCTAAGCCCAAATCCTATCTGTTGTGAAGCTCATAGCTCAAGGAGGCAACCTTGGGCCAATAGGTGCTGCACAGCCACTGATCCAATTCCAGAATGAGTTGTGATCACTTCCCTTAGTTTTTCTTTTGTAGAATAGTTGTATAATAGCCTACTTTATACATTCAAAGTGTTGTAATAATGCTAAACATGAAAAATATCCAAAGAAAATGCAGTTTTCTGGCAACATCTCATTCACTCTCATAGCCCTCTATATCCTCCCAACCCTCCTCCTCATCCTCCTCATCCTCCTCATCCTCCTCTTCCTCTGACAGATTAATATTCTCACCCTCACTCTCCTCATCTTGGATGAGCTTCCAAGCACCATTTGTATGCAGATCAATAGCATCTACAAGTGCTTTGCGGATATCAGCAACTTTGGTTGGCATTGGCCCTTGCTTGAGATTTGGAGCACCTGCACTCTTGAAGAGTCTCAATTGGTCCTTGAGGGACGTGCCCTTGAGTCCTGGGACCTTTTCCTTGTCAAAAACAAGTTCCAACTGTGCAATCCGTTCTGCAGTTGCCTTTGCATTTTGCTCCTGAACCTCCTTGCGTGCAGTTTTCTTTGCTTGTCGTTGGTCACGGAAATCAGTAAGTTCATTGCGCCTTTTCTTCTCCTCCCCATTTGCCTCTCGTCCAAGTTTATGTATATACTGATAGTCTTCCTCAGTAAACTTTGTTTCCATAAATGCTTGTGTGTTATTGCGGAAAAACATTATCAAGGCATTGCAACTGAGAAGTGTAAGCTGAGGCTGATAGTGCATGAGGCGTCGGAAAGACCCTAGCAGACCTTCATTTTCATCATTTGTTGCAGGCATATGTGCAAGCTCCCTTTCCTCTGCAGTTGCTTCATCAATTAGGCCACCAGGTGCAAATTCTGATGTGAAACATTCCCATGTTTGTGCTGCTCCTTTGAAAAATGCAATCAAAAGATTGTGGAAGTGAGGGAGTGTAGGGATGAGGTCAAATATCTTCTTTACAACTGCAGGATTCTGCCACTTTTCACCATCTAGAGTAGCTGTTTTGTATGATTCAGAAATGTCTAGGTCTTTTCCAATGAGAATGTCAGGATTTGCAATGATTTTCTGCATATGATCATAGACACGAGAATGAAAAGGACCAAGGTCAAGCATGTTCTTTTTTTGGGCATCAGAAGTATGGATTGCTTCATATATGGGTATGAAACAGCCTCAGCATAAATTGCAAGAACAGCAAGCTCAGTCACTGTTGAAGTGCAGTGGAGAGCCTTCCAGAGATTTAATTCCATGTGATTGAGTGTTGGATTTTGCTTGTTGATGCGTAGACTCTCAAGAAAATCCTTGAATTCATCTCCATAGAGAATAAGGGCTGCAGCAGCATTACAATATGACTGGAATCTATTGTTGGATGTATCGGGAAATGTAAATGGAACTCCCACATGTTCCCACCACCAATAACGAAAGATATCATGGTGGCCCCTTTTATCGTCTTTATTGTTGAAGATTGCACCTGCAATTTCTGCAGTTTTAATTGCACCACATGTTGATTTGTGAAAAGCTCTTTCTTGAGCTGGTGTTAGGGTGTCACCTTTCTCAAGAGCAGTGGCTCGCTCTTGAACCACAGGATCATTATCACGATTGGCAAGAAGGACAGGGCGTTCTTCCTCAAGCCCATTCTCAATCCACCAAGCTGCCACTGCAAGATACCCTCCCCGAATAGTGTTCAGATCCTTGTGGCAACCACAGCCAGCCCAGATAAAGAGCCGGAAAATATGTTTTTCCTCATCAGAGAGATTATCAAACTCTTCTTTTCCCAACTCAGCAACTGCCTCTTCAATCATTTTGGCCTTCCTCTCAGCCTTCTTGATGTCAGACAGTTTGTTCCACTTATTTACCCCACCAGCTTTTCTAATCATTTCCTCTTCTGCTTTCTTGAAATAGTCACGAACCTCCTCTAATGTCATTTCTAACATTTTTTCTTCTCCAAGATGTTGATCAACAGCCCAAGCTTTCAGAGTTTCAAGCAATCCGGCATCTTTTTTTTCCTTTGCACAGTGATCAGTGCTCATTCCTGCAAGTTTGATCAAAAGTTCAAAAAATTTGAGAAGTCCACCTGAGCGCTTTCCAAGAGGACTGTTATTGTAGAGGTCAATAATTTTCTTGAGAGTATTCTCCCAGTCTGCAATAGCTTCTTCACTAGATCCATCTTTTGATGATTGAATTCCAAAAGTTCGGGTTACTTGTTGCTTTGAACTGCCCTCTGGTGAAGTGTAATCCTCAGCAATAAGATGAACATGGCGGGAATTGTAGTTGATGCTACGATGGCTTGTACCATCTGCACTGAAAGTCATACTTTCTGCTTTTTTCATCTCATATCCAAGCTGAATTTGTGCAGCAAAATATCCCTCATGAAGAAATCGAGAAACAGAAGTGCGGCTGATACTGCCAACACCTGTTATTCCTGCAGATTTGAGGACAGCCAAAATAACCTCACCAACAAGGTTTCGTGAGCAGCCAGCCTTGACAAGTAAACAGACAACATTGCGTGTTTCCTCAGTGAAGACACCCTTTTGCATTAAATAGTGAACTGATCGTTGGTCTAAGATCTTCTTCTTGACTGAGGCTATTGATTGCTCCTTTTGTTTTTTACCACATTTGACTGCCTTGCACAACTTGGAAGCTTTGTTTCGTAATGTTGTCAGATCAGAGGTTGATTTAGCAAGCTTGGCATGGGATTTCTCAAGCTGTGAGGTCCACTTAGCCATAGACATAGAGAGCTCATTATGGAGAGTGTTATTCTGCTTCTGTAGTAATGCAATAGCCTTATGTGACTCACGAGAGCCTCTCAAAAGCTGCTTAGAAGTCTCTTTCTCTGCAGTCTTCAGGATCTCTACCTGATTCTGTAATTGGGTCAATTTTTGTTGCCCTCTTTTTGAGGTTTGGCGCTGCATACGAAGCTCATGATATGTTCTCTCATGCTTTTCCTGCCAAAGCACAGAGTTGTCCTTATGCATTTGCAGTTTCTGATTAGCCTTATCAAGCTCTGACTCAAGTCTGCAGCATTCTGTGTCTCTGTCAGCAAGCAGATTCTCCAGCTCCTCAATTCGTGACTTTGCAGCCTGTAAGCTAATCCAGAGATCATCTTTTGCAGTCTCTGAAGCCAATACAGCTCTCTTTTCATTGAGAACCTCCTGTGCTTTCAAGTTAGCTACTGCTGCCTGCCGTTTTCGTGATGCTAATGGTGCCATAATGTGAAGCCAGAGACGTTGTCACTACAAAGTGGCCAAGATGCAGAAATCACCTGAGATGAGAATTACCAAGACTCAGAGAACAAGCACAGAGCAAGAGAGACAAACAAGAATGAAGCCCAGAGAGAGAAAGGCAAAGAATCTCCTGACAAGAGTAGTACTAGAGATGAGAATAACTGAGAGAACAACCACAGAGAAAGAGAGACAAGCAAAAAATG